CATTAAACATAAAAACTGGATTTGGGATTTCTTTTGATAAGTTTATACTGTAATATTTTGTTTGCATTTCAGCATTTAGCTGGAGCTGAAAAGATTCCTAGTTTAGTCAGAGCATACCCTCTCTAAATTGTTACCTTAATTTTTCCTTTTTTTTGGGAACTCAATTTATATTGTATGGGCCAGGTACAGTGGCTCATACCCATAATCCCAGCACTTGGGAGACTGAGGTGGGAGGATTGCTTGAGGCCAGGAGTCCAAGACTAGCATGGGTAACATAGTGGGCCCCCATCTGTACAAAAAATAATTAACTGTGGTGGTACATGCGTGTAGTATTAGCTACTAGGGAGGCTGAGGTGGGAGGATCACTTGAGTGCCAAAAGTCGAGACTGCAGTGAGCCATGATCGCACCCTTGCACTCCAGCCTAAGCATCAAAGCAAGACCCTGTCTCAAAAAAAAAAAAGTATATTGTTTCTTACCCAGTAGAGTTTGAGTTTGAAATTTGTCATTGAGAAGATACGAATATTATTATCATGGTTTGTGAATGATAATTGAATTATTAGTTATTCCTGATGTTACAGTTAAGCCATTGCTGCTGTTTTTTAAATTCTTGATACCTAAATAAATAAATAAATCCCTTAGGCCGGGCGTGGTGGCACAAACCTGTAATCCCAGCACTTTGGGAGGCCAAGGCAGGCGAATCACCTGAGGTTGAGAGTTCAAAACCAGCCTGACCAACATGAAGAAACACCATTTCTACTAATAATACAAAATTAGCTGGGCATGGTGGCACTTGCCTGTAATCCCAGCTACTCGGGAGGCTGAGGCAGGAGAATCGCTTGAACCACAGTGGGAGCGGCAGAGGTCGCGGTGAGCCAAGATTGCGACATTGCACTCCAGCCTGGGCAACAAGAGCAAAACTCCATCTCAAAAAAAATAATAATAATAATAATAATAAAATACATAAATTCCTTGTTTGAGATCCATGTATATAGGAAAACAGATTATATTTATTGTGTTTATAACCTATGGTAGGTTGACAGTGAAGAGAAGAGCTCAGGACAGTTAATGAAAGCATCACCTTTTCTTTACTGAGATCTCTTATGTAAGGAAAGCATTCAGTTAGTCTTAGAATTGTCATGAAAGTTAGTTTAAGGAATATTCATAGCATTGTGGTCGTCATCTTAGGTATTCTGTCTGTGAATTTCTGTTTTTAGGTATAATCTAAAAGTTCTGTAAAATAAACATTAACAATGTTGTACGCTTCTTATGGCTGTTCTAGGTCTCTGTGTTTTTATTATGAACTTTTATCTGATCTTTTCAAGTTTTTGTCTCATGGTATTTTTTCCTCAATGCCAATTAACAGTGGTTAAACAAAATAGATAAGGTTTTCCTTCTAAGTCCAGAAGTAGACATTCCAGAGTTGATGTGATCATTTAAGGATGCCAGGGCTGTTGAAAACTGGGCTGTTGTTCTCTTGGTCTTTTCCTCATGGTCAGTTACAATATAGCTCATACTGTCGTTGTCTTCCTTAGTTCAGCTCCAGGCAGGAAGGAGGAGGAAGCAGAAAAGGGCAAGAAGGCTCATGTTGTTAGGCACACAATGGGTAGGTTCAGTCACTTGGTGGGTGACAAGTCCAGTGACCACAACCAAGTAGGGTTTAACAGGGAGATTTTATTACTTGCACCAAGTAAGGAGTACACTAGGGATAGTCCCAAAGACAATGCTTCCCCAAAGGTGAACACCCGGGCTAGTTAGCTGAGTCATTGTATTAGAGGTGGAATAAAGGCAGTGCAGGCACATTTATCATGCTTTTACATACATCAGATGTATAGAAAATGGCACATAAGCTACTTCCTGGGTGGGGATTTTAGTACGGTAGTGAGGAGAGTTTGCCAAAAGTTAATCTCCAATTTAGGCAAACTCTGTACCCAACCACTGGGCCAAGCTTCTTTCCTGAACTTCTTGAAACTACAAGAACTCAAGGTGCAACAGTTACAAAAAGTTACAACAGTTTCTTTTTCTTTTTCTTTTTCTTTTCAGAGGGAGTCTCGCTCTGTTTCCAGGCTGGAGTGCAGTGGTGCGATCTTGGCTCACTGCAACCCCTGCCTCCTGAGTTCAAGTGATTCTCCTGCCTCAGTCTCCCGATTAACTGGGACTACAGGCATGCACCACCATGTCCAGCTAATTTTTGTACTTTTAGTAGAGATGGGGTTTCACCTTGTTGGCCAGGATGATCTCCATCTCTGGACCTCGTGATCCACCTGCCTCGGCCTCCCAAAGTGCTGGGATTATAGGCGTGCACCACTGCGCCTGGCCACAAGTGTGGATACTTTTTCACAGTGAATACCCAAAAACCTGGGGACCCTGAGTTACAACATCACTTTAGTTTGCCCCCCTAGTCAAGGAGCTTTCTAAAACTCACCCCAAGTCATCTCAAATATTACATCTTATTTACCAGAATTATGTCATATTATCGTTTCTGTCTTCCAGAACCTTAAAAATTTTAGGATAGTCCATTATTGCCCCTAGCAAAATCAGTGTTCTTTTGGTAAGAAAGCAGGAGTAGATGGATACTGTATTTGCAACTTGAAGTCCCTACCTCAGAAACCACCATACTTTAGGAGCCTTCTGTTATACCCATAGGTTGGCCTCCTCATTTTCCCTGTGTCCCTTCTGAAAGCATAAACTACCATATGTCATTCATATATATTTTGGTACATTAATCTTATTTTTTTTCCCTTAGCTTTTATTTTCTTAACTTCCTCAGTAATTAAGTTGGTCTTTTTGAATGAGATGATTGTTGTCCCCTTCAGATGTTTTGAAGGCAGGAAAAGTTTGTAAGTCAATATATGTTATAATATTTTATTGTTCATACTCTGTCATTTCCTCCTTTCACAAGCCAGTAGATATACTTGGTTATAAAGTCTATAATTCCTGAATTTGTTGGCTTTTCATCACCATCTGCGCTGGTTTTATTGTTATCTAACATAGGTGTTGAGCCATTGTCACTTTTTTAAAAAAATAGTTTTGCCAGGGTCAGTGGATCACATCTATACTCCTAACACTTTGGGAAGCAAGGTGGGAGGATCGCATGAACCCAGGAGTTCGTCTTCACCAAACGAAACAAAACAAAACAAAACAAAAATTAGCCGGTATGGTGTTGCACACCTTGTAGTCCCAGCTACGTGGGACGCTGAGATGGGAGGATCTCATGAGCCCCGGAATTCCAGGATGCAGTGACCTGTGATCATGTCACTGCTCTCCAGTGAGTGAGCTCTTGTCTCTAAAATAAATAAATTACATAGTTTGAGATACAATTTACATAGCATAACATTCAACCTTATAAAATTCATTGATTTATAATATACCACAGAGTTGTGCAACCATGACCACTATCTAATTTTAGAATAACCCCAAAGGAAACCCACTATCCATTAGCAGTCACTTCTTTTCCTCTTCCTGCCACTTCCAGCCCCTTGGCAGCCACTTATCTACTCTCTGTCTCTGTGGAAATGTCTGTTGTGAACATTCCTTATAAATGAAATCATATAATCTGTGCCCTTTTGCATCTAGCTTTCTTTCACTTAATATAATGCTCTCAAGATTTATTCATGTTGTAGCATGTTGTTAAGACAACTTCCTTATCAGATAATGATTTGCAATACTTTCTTCTATTCTGTAGCTTGTCTTTTCACTCTCTTGATTTTGATGAAGCCCAATGTATATTTTCTTTTGTTGCTTGTGCTTTTGGTGTCACATCTAAGAAACCATTGCCCAACTCAATGTCACAAAGATATTCTTCTGTGTTTTCTTCTAGGAGTTTGGTAGTTTTGGGTCTTACATATTGGTCTCTGATTTGTTTTGAGTTAGTTTTGTATATGGTGTGAAGTAATTTCCCAACTTTATTTTTTTGTATATGGAAACCCAGTTGTCCCAGTACTATTTAAGAGACTCTTCTTTCCCCCATTGAGTTGTCTTGGAACCATACCAACTTTTTTTAAAAAGTGACTTTAGAAATAGTTGTGCATAAATAAGCATGATTTTTTATTCTTAATATTGAATCTGGATATTTAGAAATGGGATAGAGTTTTTAGTCCTTAGATAAGAGCTTACTTCCCTGGTTATAATGACTAGGATAGCAAGTAGCTCACAGTAGGAACTCCGAATAGGTTTGTTGAATATATATGGATGGTCTCTTGAGACGAAGTTGAGTGGGTGAATTTAAATGCTGTTGGAGCATTCAGTTAGAGATACTAAAATCATAAACATTCTTAATTGTAGTAATATAGTGCTATAATAGGCATAGTGATGAAAGAGTCTTTTTTTTGCTTTGGGATTTTTACTTTGTGCTGAGTATTCATACTTGTTTGAGATGCCAAGGTGCTGCTTTCTCAACTGGCAAATGTTTTAGAATAAGAAAGACCTTTGCTCATAACATTTTCCTTGCAGGCTACTTTAAATTTTGCCTTCAATCTGAAAGCCTATGTAACATTGTATCAACTCTTTTTATGCCTCTGTGTTGGTCATTAATGCTGTTTACCAAATAGTTTTTGTTCTCATCCTTCATGTTAGGGGCTGTGACTAACTCTGGCCAATAAGTGAGTTGTGAGAAAAACAGATGTATGAAAGAAAATTGTGCATCCTAATATTGCTGTAGTATTTAAGTTCCAGTATGAGATCTTCAGAGCTGTCTTCTTTTTTTTTCTTCCGTCCTTGGATCCTGAGGCAACCTTTTGAGGTGATATTCCCCCTGAGTTAAAAAAGACCTGTCAGACTGGGCTCGGTAACTCACACCTGTAATCCCAGCCCTTTGGGAGGCTGATGTGGGCGAATCACCTGAGGTCAGGAGTTCGAGACCAGTCTGACCAACGTGAAGAAATGCTGTCTCTACTAAAAATACAAAATTAGCCAGGCGTGGTGGTGCGTGCCTGTAATCCCAGCTACTTGGGAGGTTGAGGCAGGAGAATCGCTTGAACCCGGGAGGCAGAGGTTGCGGTGAGCCAAGATTGTGCCATTACACTCCAGCCTGGGTAACAAGAGTGAAACTCCATCCCCCACCCCCCACAAAAAAAAGACCTGTCAATAAGCAATGGACAGCCTGAAGAAGGAAATTTTATTTTAAGCCACAGAGATTTTATGGTTCTTTGCGTAGCTGCATAACCTGGCTTACCTTGACTAAGTATTTTTTTCTTGTTAGATTCTGAGACTTAAATAAAAGTATTATAATAGTATAGATATTTCAGAAGTACTTAGATAAAAGTCAAAGATAAGGGAAATATAAGATACATGGTATTCAACAATTAGCATTTTTGAGTTTTAGTTTCTTGCCCTTATTGTTTCCTCCCTTTTTTTCATTGGTCTTAATTTTCTTGTATGTTTTGTTTCCATACTCTTAGCTGGTGAGGTAATCATGATCAATGGTAACTTGAACTGAAGAATGGTTTTATTCCAGTACGTGTTTCTGCTTACAGTCACTGAAAAGTTTCTCATGTATTCCAAAGTTCTGCTTCTGTGCAAATTTAGTTCCTACTACATCAAGAAAGGAATTTTAAGGATCAGAACGATAGAAACATTCAGTTGATGTCTTTGACCTGTTGAACACTGTTCTGACATTTCAGGTAGTGAATGTTTTGTAATGAGTGAGTCTTTTGTAATCTTTGTGAAATAATTTGTAAAATTTAGTTAATTGATCTTCTGTCAATATTAATGCAAGTTAACTTAGAGAAAAATATTCTTTACTGGCACTGTATAATTGAAATCAGGGTTACAAAGAATATTCTTAGTACATAAACTAAGTATATACATTTACAAAGGAGAATTTCATTTTTAAAAAGTAATTGGTATAATTCCTTTACTGTGAAAAGAAAAATGTTTTCCTGTTTTTAAGGTGACTTGTTTTTTTAGTCCTGTCCTCTCATATGAATTCCTTCATTAAATCTGTGTTGTTTGGTAAAGTAATTGATCAGCTGTCTTAATAAATAAATAAATAAATGTACTTTTAGGGCTGGAAGTTGATTTTTAATGATAAAGTACAGTGGAGAGGAGGGCAGAGGGGGCTAAACCAAACTGTCTGGGATGCTGTGGTGGTGGTGAGCTGGCTATACAAACTGCTGCTGCTGCTGCTTCTAGGTGGCTGCCTTGCTGGTGAGGTCCTTGCCTTCTCTGTAGCTACCAGTGCCGTCTCCTTTGTGTGCTCCTTGGTTTCCTTGGCTGTCTCAACAAGTGTTTTAGAAGGGGCCTCGCATTGCATCTTTGCCAAGATATATTCAAAACCCTTCAGAGTCTTGATCACGTTGCTTTTGAACCAGGCAAGACCAAATTCCTGGACATCTCTGTTAACACCAAATAAGCTAGAGGAGACCCAGGCTTCCCTGCAGATTTTGGTTCAGCCACTGTTGTCAGAGTTTACACAGTGCATACATCGTTTCTCCACCACCATCAGCCGGGCATGGTTGTTGTTCCAGGTGAAGGTGGTCATGGTCTGATTCTGTGGGTCCACATAGAGTCCTTCAGGATGTACACCAAGTGAACAACATTGACCGGAAACAGTTGCTTGGCCCAGTGGGGCATCCTGTTGGTCTTGGTCAGGAGTCGCCGGGACAGCAGTTTCTGGTCAGCGGTCGCTGCCTGGTGTACTGTGTCTTCTGTCAACACATGTTTGCTATAGGGGTTCGGGTACTGCTGCCAGAAGTTGGCGAACACTTGGTCCCAGGAACTCTGGAGCACGCTCTGGCCCAGGAAATACTTGACCATTGTCCCGGCCGGAGTGGTCTCAGCACCTGTGTAGCATCAGGGTTGTGGAGCCTGGGAGACACGCGGGGGCCGGAGCTTGGTGAACAACTGCCACCAGGCTCGTAGCTCGAGTCACCACTGCACCGTGCCCAAGCATCTGCTGCCGCCACCGCAATGAGTTGTCCACTGTCTTAATATATCTTAAAGACTTGTGTATAGCAAATGCTGTTATAAGTGTGGCCGGCATTACTTACATACAGAAACCACATTATAAACCATGATACTTATTTTTAACGAGGATGTCTTAAAGTTATTTTTGAATCTGTGTACTTTTAAAGGAAATAATAGAAGCAAAGGGAATATTAAAACATCTGATTGGTAGTTTTATACTTGATGATAAAGTATATTTTTAACTATGCTAAATCAGTAATGGAGGTGAAGCCAAGTACCTTACTAATTTTCTGTCTTTTTCTCTTTTGGAGAAAATATTATCTTGTACTAGATATAGATACCGAGAGTAAGACTTTTAAAACTAGTGGTGAAAAGGAAAAAAAACAACAACAAACTTTATACAGCTTTTTCATTTTCTTTCTTGTGAAATGAGATTTTCGTAAGGATAGTAAGTAACCTGTGGCTAAGATATGCATTGGGGATGACTTCATTGTCTTTTGTTTGTCTGTTTGTTTGTTTTGATACGGAGTCTCCCAGGCTGGAGTGCGATGGCTGGAGTGATCTTGGCTCACTGCAACCCCGCCTCCTAGGTTCAAGCCATTCTCCTGCCTCAGCCTCCCATGTAGCTGGGATTACAGGTGTACACCACCACACATGGTTAATTTTTGTATTTTTAGCAGAACCGGGGTTTTCACCATGTTGGCCAGGCTGGTCTCGAACTATCAACCTCAGGTGATCCACCTACCTCGGCCTCCCAAAGTGCTGGGATTACGGTGTGAGCCACTACGCCCAGCCCCTTCTTTTTAAATACACATTGTTTTTATAATAAATAGTCTCTGTCTCCTCTATGATCTCAAAAAATGTTTCATTGTATTTTTATCTTTAAATTTTATCACCTTGTATTTGTGATCTTTTAAAAAGTGATATGGGACTGTATTAGTTTGCTAGGGTTGCCATAGCAGAATATCATAGACAGGTAGCTTAAAAACAGAAATTAATTTTCTCACAGTTCTGGAGGCCACAAATTCAAGATCACGGTGCCATCAGGGTTGGTTTCTAGTGTTGGCTCTCTTCCTGGGTTGCAGAAGGCTGCTTTCTTGCCATGTCCTCACATGGCCTTCTCTATGTGTGACAGGGTAAAAGAAGCAAAGAGGAAGTGAAGCTCTGATATTTCTTCCTCTTATAGGGATGCCAGTCTTAATCAGATTTCACTTCAGGGTCTCACCCATATGACCTCATTTATTCTTAATTATCTCCTTAAAGGTCCTATCTCCAAATATAGTCAGTCACATCAGGGGTTAGGACTTCAATATATGAATTGGGGGAAAGGAGCACAGCAGTTCATAATAATAACAGAAAAAGTGCACAAAGTACAAATGTGCAACTCAGTCATTATGAAGAACACCTGTGTAACTATCCCCTAGATCAAGAACTAGAACGTTGCCAACACTCCAGAACCTCCACAGTTTCAACTTCTCAGCCATCACAAATCTTTTCTTCTACTTAGAGATAATTGCCAACTTTATGGCAATAATTTTCTTGCTTTGCTCTATATAGTTTTGCCAGCTAAGTTTGCATCTTTTTTTTTTCTTTTTCTTTCTTTTTTTGAGACGGAGTTTCACTCTTCTTGCCCAGGCTGGAGTGCAATGGTGCAATCTCAGCTAACTGCAACCTCCGCCTCCCGGATTTAAGCGATTCTCCTGCCTCAGCCTCCTGCGTAGCTGGGATTACAGGCATGAGCCACCACACCCGGCTAATTTTGTATTTTTAGTAGAGACAGGGTTTCACCATGTGAGTCAGGCTGGTCTCGAACTCCTGACTTCAGGTGATACGCCCGCCTTGGCCTCCCAAAGTGCTGGGATTACAAGCGTGAGCCATCGTGCCCAGCCTAAGTTTGCATCTTATAAGCAGTGTCTGTAAGATCTGCTGCAGTGTCTTTTTCACTTTTTTGTCTTGCTTGGGTTTTCTAAGTCTCACCAGTAAGCTATCAGTTTCATTAATATTTTCAAAAATGCAAATTTTGGGTTTTCGGTCTCCATTATACAATGTTTGTTTTGTACTTTGTTGATTTCTACTCTGTTCTTTATTTTCTTTCCTTTTACTTTCATAGAGTTTGTTTTGCAGTTCTCTTTCTAATTTTGTCAAGTGGATTCCTAACTCATTCTTTCCTAGCCTCCTTTATTTATTTATTTTATTTATTCATTTATTATTTTTGAGACTGGGTCTCGTTTTGTTACCGAGACAGGTGCGAAGATGGCTCATTGCCTCCTCGGATTCCCGGGCTCAAGTGATCCTCCTGCCTCAGCCCCTGCCCCCTGCCCCCCGCCCCTACACACACACACACGTAACTGGGACTAAAGGTGTGTGCCACCATGCCTGGCTAATTTTTGTATTTTATGTTGAGACAGGGTTTTGCCATGTTGTCCAGGCTGGTCTTGAACTACAAAGTTCAAGCGATCTATGCTACACCTGCCTCCACCTCCCAAACTGCTGGGATTACAAGGTGTGAGCCCCCATACCCAGCCCTTTTTTAGTCTTTAAATGGGCCTTAAAGGCCCATTTGAGCCTTTAGATTTTCCCCTTTATTCTTACACTGTGTTCACAAATTTTCGTATGTGGTACTATGTTGGCATTTAGTTTTACAGAAATACTTTAAAATTTTGTTATTGATTCTGCTGGTTTTTCTTCATGTCACCTTATTTTCTCATATACTTGTTTATCTTTGATTGTGTGCTGGTCCCTTCGTTTGAAAAATTAGTTGTAGAAATAATGTCTGGGGTGATTTTTGTGTGTGTGTGCGTGAGACAGCATCTCCTCTGTCACCCAGGCTGAAGTGCAGTGGGATGATCTTGGCTTACTGCAACCTCCACCTCCTGGGTTCAAGCGATTCTCCTGCCTCAGCCTCTTGAGTAGCTGGGACTGCAGGCGTGTGCCACCATGCCTGGCTAATTTTTGTATTTTTAATAGGGATGGGGTTTCCTCATATTGGCCAGGCTGGTCTTGAACTTCTGACCTTGTGATCTGCCTGCCTTGGCCTCTCAGAGTGCTGGGATTACAGGCGTGAGCCACTGTGCCTGGCCTTTTTGTTTTTGTTTTCATAGAGGATTTGTATTTCTTTCATCCAGGTGCCTGGTGATAGGGATTGTCCGATTATCCTTTTCTTAGTGTGATTTGAGATTTTTGAAGCCACCTTGGTTACTCAAAGCTGGACCGCAGACCATAAAATAACTGACTGAATTCTGGGTCACCTTTGCTCCCAGGATATAGCCTTTCTGAATTCTAACTCAATCAGGGTCTTTACCTTTGTTGGACCCTGAATTTGGACTTTGTTAGATCTGTTTTGTGGAAGCCACCAAGTGTATTGCTTGGCCTTTCAACCCCAGGGCAAAAGTAGCTGACAGTGCTTTGCTTATTTCTCTCCCTTGGTTTCACACCTTTTCAGGTCTTGGCTCAGTAATTCTTGTCTGTCTGATTAGTACATGGCTTAAAACCCCCAAACTTAAAGTATATCTTACCTAGATTTTTTTTTTTTTTTCTCGAGACAAGAGTCTTGCTCTGTCTCCCGGGTTGGAGTGCAATGATGTGATCTTGACTTACTGCAACCTCCGCCTCCCGGGTTCAAGCAATTCTCCTGCCTCAGACTCCCGAGTAGCTGGGATTACAGGTGTCTGCCACCATGCCCTGCTAATTTTTGTATTTTTTAGTAGAGATGGGGTTTCACCACATTGGTCAGGCTGGTCTTGAACTCCTGACCTCAGGTGATTCACCCCCCTCGGCCTCCCAAAGTACTGGGGTTACAGACAGGGGTCACTGCGCCTGGCCCTTATCTAGATTTTTTTTTTTTGGAAATGGAGTCTCACTCTGTCGCCCATGTTAGAGTGCAGTGGCATGATCTCGGCTCACTGCAACCTCCGCCTCCTGGGTTCAAGTGATTCTCCTTGCCTCAGCCTTCTGAGTAGCTGGGACTATAGGCGCGTGCCACCATGCCTGGCTAATTTTTGTATTTTTAGTACAGACAGAGTTTCACTATATCGGCCAGGCTGGTCTTGAACTCCTGACCTGGTGATCCACCGCCTTGGCCTCCCAAAATGCTGGGATTACAGGTGTGAACCACCATGCCAGGCCCCTTATCTAGATTTTTAATGGTCGTGGGAATGGTGGTTCTCAAATACACAGGAAGCAGAAACCCCCACATGATATTTTAATTACTTGTTTATATGTCTGTCCTTTCAGTAGGGTGGGCTTTTAAATTTATTTTTACTATTTTTCTACTGTAAGCCTTTTATTGTTTGTAACTCAGCACATAATAATGTCTGATGCATAAGTGCATAGAAAATATTGACTGGTTTTGGCATGACTTTTAAGAAAAAATTGTGAAGGTGTACCTTCTTTTGAGCCATATAGGAAAATTGAGATTAAATCTAATTGTTTTATTTGTTGTACCTTCAGTACCAGACATAATAAATTTGGCTGTTATTGGCAGTGGAAAATCATGGGATAATTTCTGAATAACCACTTAGTGCCTCTTAAATGTGGTTAAAGAAAGATTAATTTCAAAACTGTATGTGTGATAGATTAGATATTTTGTCAGGATGTATCTTATAAGTATCCTTGAGTATGGTAATTTTTAAAGTGTGGTCCCCAGACCAAGTATCATTGGCATTACTTGGGAATTTGTTTGAAATGCAAATTATCTGATCCTGCCTCAGATCTTCTGAATCAGAAACTGTAGTGGTATGGCTAAGCAGTCTGCTTTAAAAGCCCTCAGTTAGATTCTGATGCATATCTAAATTATTGAGCTACTGCTGTAACAAAATACAATAGAATATGATTTCGATTTAGGCCCCTTAAAAGCTAAAGGTTATTTATCTTTCTGTGATGAGAATATTTTTTGAAAATATTTAATGTAGTCTCAATGTTGATCTTTCTTTAGAATTAAATTTTAAGCCTCTATAAAGTCATTAGGTTTATTAGAGCAAAATTATGACCTGAAATAGTTGAGTTCACTGAAAAATAAAAACTTGTCTGTGTTACACAGGAAAATGATACTGGTCTAATTGTTGACAATAACTGGCTTATTCCAGTTGCCTTGCAGTATTCTTAAGGGAGTGGATTGTTTAGGACCTAACTTTCTTAATACAAGTTTCATTAGAAGTAAATTCTCTATGTTTTCATTGTTTGGAAGGAAATATTTAACATATACAGTATGATGGAACTTCTGTAGAATATAGCATAATCACAGAGACAGTTTTATCCATCTGTTTCCTAGTCAGCTTCAACATATTTTTAAATGAGGCACAAGATTACTATGTTATGAAAATGTTAACAAGTTTTTTAACAAGTCTTTGTGTAGTCACTTGATTATTCAGATTTTGCTCACTAATTTTATGAGGGCCATTTGGCAAAGTGTTTTAATCCAGAATTTAAAATTGTTCATTTGTAGTTGGACAGGCTTATAAAAAGGGGCATATTTTAAATCTTTGTCATCACTATAGCCATAATATACTTAATAAAAGTTTGGTAGCAATTTGAGTATTTAACTACATAGGGTGGTACTTTGAA